ACACACAAACTTTTTATGTGCAGTTTGTCTCAAAGTGTGTTGCTAGTTAAAGGTCCGGCTGTTGTATCTCACAGGGAGAAAAGAAAGAGCTAACTTCACTCGGAGAAAGATTAGAAAGACATACATCGATAATATCGATACCTACTCTGTTATTGGTATTGGACTGATACTAGCGCAATAGGATCAATACTTTTCTTTCCCCTAAGTTCAGTGTGGAACCCACTGAATTGTGGTTAATTATTTGTTTTATTTTATTTTTTTATTTAACTAATTATTGTGGAAATAATTAGTTAACACATAATCTTAACTAACTACTTGATCATTGATCAGTGGCCGTTCACAGAGTGTTTATAAGCTTGGGGAAAACTTATAAAAGACTGAAGAAGTCACTTGGATGAGTGTCGAAACGTTTCTCCCGCTGAAAACGCTACATCCAGATGATCAGTAACAACTTTTGGTGAGTTTTTTGCCTTCTTTCAATAAATGCTAATCCAGCCTCTTCTTCATTCCAGAGCAGTGGGTAAGACCTGTCTGCTCATCAGCTACACCACCAATGCCTTTCCCGGAGAGGAAATTCCCTCTGTGTAAGTCAGTAATTGGTTTTTCATCCTGCTGCACAATCCTTACACAATCATGCTTGGCATCGCTTGACATCGTGTGAATTTTTTATATTAAAATTAGCCTTGCAGAGGATTTTAGAATCATAGGAGTGGAATAATGATACAATAAATCAATCAATTTGCCTTGTTCTCCTGTTTTTTATTTTAGTAGAGGTAATGTTTTACCAGTTTATATTAAGCCTGAAGGTTTAGCTTCTACGCACTTCATTTTCTATCAGGTTCGACAACTACTCCACCAATGTTATGGTGGATGGGAAGTCAGTGAACCTGGGCCTGTGGGATACAGCAGGACAAGAAGACTACGACAGACTCCGCCCCCTTTCCTACCCAGAGACGGTACAACAACCACAACAAAAACATGATTACGTTCTGATTGTCAGCAATCAGTCAATGTTGTCAATGTTGTGCTATAGTTCACTTACATTATTGTGCAAAATAATGTCATTTCCTTATATCTCACTTCTAAGTCTTCTTGAGCAATAGTTCTACAGTGTTTATTTACTTAATTAACCCATTTAAGAATCATGTATAAAAACGAACTTAAGCTGAGGGATGAACCACTGTTGTGTCGTCAGATAACAGACAACGTGGCAAAGAACCGATTTTAAATTGTGTTTTCCAGCACTTTGTTACTATAAACCTGTTGCAAAAACATTATTTATTCCCATTTCTTTCGTTGAATTGACTAAAAATCTCAAACATAACAATTTAACAGACATAAAAAGAGTATTTTTGCACAAACAAGGTGATTTCCAAAGAGCTATTAGCTAAAGATTTGGCATAAAACTCAAAAACCCTTCTGAACAGGAAGTGGTTGTTACAGGCAGTGATTACTTTGGTATTTCTGTCTTACCAGAATGTGTTTCTCATCTGCTTTTCACTCGTGATGCCTGCCTCGTATGAAAACGTCCGTCATAAGGTGAGTAGTCGACATCATGTTGTTCATTCATTTCATGCCTGTGCTGCCAAACAGGCACAAGCAGCTGTAGATGGAAAACTAATCAATAAGCTCATTGGAAAAATGCAGCTACAGTTCCTGAAAGATCCTAATATGATGGAAAGTAAAGTTGTAACTAACAGGACGTTGTATAGGTAATTATAGTACAGATTCCAACTTGTCATAAAATGAAAGGAACACAGGAAAGTGGAGACAGCTGACAAATGTTTATCATTTATGCTTAAGAATTTGTCATCAAATTCTTACCCAGTGTGTGAGGGTGTGTTGGGAGATCTGGTAGAGGACCTGGTCCACATTATCTTCAGCTGTCACCTCCAGTAGAACTTCAACAGCAGAGGGAAGGCAGAGAAAATTGAGTCTGAATGGACCATTTTCTGTATTTTCATTGTTTATGTCGATGCACTGAGCTGCTGCTGCTGGTGCTGCAAGGTGGTTGGTGCCTGTCCAATTGCAGATTTTGTCTCTACTTTTTGCAGATTATGTGGTTCTGGTGGCTCCATCAGGTGATGGCCTTCTGCTTGCATTGGAGTGCCTCACAGCTGAGTGTGAAGTGACAGGAATGAAAAATAGTTTCTCAGACAGAAAAAGGTTGTGTGGCCATTCCGGGTCAAGGATGAGTTGTTTCCCCAGGTGGAGGAAAATGACAGATGGAGGGGCTTCATCTGTATGGATATATTGTGTGGATGTTGTACTGGTCCGCTGTGTTGAAGAGATCCCCTCAGCATCACAGCAACATCGTTGCTGTTGTTTTTCTTGCACACAACTTTACTTTCTCAGTTCATTTTGCAGACATAAGTTGGCAGCAACAAGCTCATGAATATAACAGAGTATTTATGAGCTACAGAGACTGAAAGTTTCTCAGTAGTTAGCGGGAAAAGAAAATACTAGACTTAAACGGGAATAACATGAGTCCAAATAAGATGAAAAAGAGGGGATTGAGGTCTACAAATCTACTGCTGGTGATTTCACAGCCTATTTATCGCCATACTTATCATACCTTCTTAGACAACATATTATTTAGCCTGATATTAGACACATTTGTCAGTGTGTCACACTTGTTTCCCACTTAAGTTTAACACCATGTGCGGTATAACCACTTTTCATTGGAAAGGGTGTAAGAGACCAACACCAAACAAGACCAAGTTTTGTTTGTTTTCTATAAATTTTGAACTTGAAGATGTCAAACTTTGCCTATTCTTTGAATTATTGTAGCTTAGTAATGAACCAAATAGATAAATATTCACCCCCCAAAAAATAGGACCTCCACTAGGTTTACAAGAAACGATCAATTAGTCACAATCCAAACAGCCTGTCACCACAGGCTAAAGACAGAAAAGTCACTCATATCACCAAGTGGGCAAATGTCACTGGCTGATGGCACAAGTCACACCCCTACTCTAGGTGTGTTTGGCTGCGCAGAGGTTTCCCCCTTATAGCCACGAGTTTTACTGGATCAGGATTTGGGGCAAAATAGTGCATTGTTTATTTGCAGTTCCA